ACCAACAATCTTGCTGGTCACTTGATTTCCCATCTTCACGACTCCAAAATCACCACCTCGATAAGAGGAGAAAAAACCTTTGTGTGGAGTAACGTGGAAGGAGGCACCGAAGTCAACAATCCAGGTGCAGTCATCATATGCAACATTCAAATAATTATCCTCACCTAGGAGGAATATATTGGCATCAGGGTTTGCAGCCACCGCAGTGGTGCTCTTGTCTTCCCTCTTCTTGGGAATAATCTGATCCGGCTTCACAGAGCCGTTCTTCTCATCATTCTGTAGGGTCCAGCAGTCTGGCTTCTTATGGCTTGTCTTTCCACAGTAAAAGAACTTCAACTCATATTTCGGCTTTGACCGACCTCTGGACTTGTCTCGTCTGTCACGACCTCTACCTCGACTTTTGCTTCTACCGCGGGAGTCGGCTTTCCCTTTGTTCTCAGCAACGTTGGCCTCAGACGTACTCGAAGTACCTCGTTCTCTTCTCCTGGATTCTTCGCCCAGGAGGCTGTCTGTCACGACATCCATCTTCAATTTTCCATCTGGAGTCTAGTTATTCAGGGTCACCACCAGAGTATCCCAGCTTTCTGACAGCGAGCTCAACAGCAGCAATGCCTGCAATTCTTCATCAATTTTCATATCAGCCTTTGACAGCTGATTCACAATACCTTTGTAGGTGTTTAGGTGTTCAATCATGCTCATGCCGTCCTTGTATTCAAGCTTAACAAGTCGGCGAACCAGGTGTGCTTTGTTCCTGGGAGTCTTCTTCTGAATCATGGACTCCAGCTTCGTCCACAACTCATACGCGTTCGTGAATTCAGACACGTGCTCAAAGAGACTTTTATCAATATATTTCCTGATTGTGGCTACCGCCTTCCGACTCAGGATCTCCCACTCCTTATCAGTTTTGCCTCCCGTTCTCTCATCAAGGATAATGGGCTCATGTAAATCTTTGCAGTAGAGATGATCTTCCATCATCGGTCTCCAATAAGTGAAGTTGTCTGCGGTCAACTTGAACATATCTCCATCATGAGTTATGCCACTGGTCTCCATCTCGTCTCCCTCAGAACCCGTCGAAACTCGGGCTCTGATACCACTATTGGGAACTCGGTTCCCTCAAGCTCGGCTAAGCAGCCTTTGTGGGGAAGTCAATCAACAAGATCCTGATCTCGAATCTCGGCAATACCTCGGCCTGAACTTCAACAGGTCAGGCAGCGCAGTGGAAAAATCAAAAACGAAAAACACAAAATAGGAGAGAGAGAGAGAAGAAGAACACAACAGATTTAACGTGGAAAAACCTTCTTCAATGAAGAAGTAAAAACCCACGGGACCTAGTCCAGATCAAAAACCCACTATGAAAATAATGGTTACTAAGAATCAAATACACCAATGTGGTGGTTAACTCAACCTCTCCAACAATGGTGATAATCAAACTACCCTAGAGATGTTTCACTCAAACTCTCTCTAGATATCTCTCAAATGCGAAGCATAAAGCTTTGCTCAAACAATCAAATAATTTTCTCAAATTTCTTAACCTAGCCTCCACCCACAAGAGTATATATAGAGGAGGTGGAAATTAGGGTTAGGATTTTTAGGAAACCCCTCAAATGAGTTTGGGCTTAGCATTAAAGGAGGAAGCCCAACACATGTGTATGCTCAATCTAAGTATTTGTTAACTATGAAGAATTAGAAGCATTCAATGCATTAACCATCTACATCTGCCAATCATATGCCGGTGGAATATTTTCGTCATCTGAACCTCGCGTTTTAAACATTTCATGTATTCTATCTAACATATGCACTGGCATTGGCAATTCTTGCCGTATGGATTCCTATAACCTAATGATCTCCTATCTCCTGAACTTTTAACTTCAGCTAAATTCTATTTTTGTTGATTATTGGTTAGTAAAATTTATTGTTATTACACAGTATTTTGTAATACACTCTTATAAATATGAATACATATCTTACAATGGAGTATTCTCAATCATTTCATTTAACTACAACAAAGTTTTTAATTGAATGGCAAAGTCGGCATCCAACGTCTCAAACTTACATGTTTAATTTTGTTTTATCTTTACAGAAAAAAAAAATACATGTTTAATTATCATTTTTTGAATGTCCTCAGAAGTTCAGAGTAGGTGAAAATTCTCCCAATTTATGGCCTGTGCATAAAATAAACTAATACACATTTATTTGACCTGGACGACTATGGTACGGTGAAAGCGAATAAATGGAGGATCACAAAACCAAAAAGAAATTTTCCTAAAATCAGTTGACCAAGGCATATTGCCACAAACAGTGAAGAACATAATCTCTATGAGGAGGTCATATGCCTTTTCCCTCAACAATTCAGGACTTCAACAAATATTAGACCGAAACTAATATATCTCCACCCATTTCTTTTCGTATTGTTTTTTTTTTTTTTGGTACATTTCTTTTCGTATTTCTACTGTAATAAAGATTCAAATTGGTCTACAGCATTTATTATGTTAATGGGGAAATAAATTTTGTATTTACTACAGAAAATTTCCCTTTACCACAGGCACAAATCTTCATTTTTGTCTCATCATGTTTTTCTCTCATTAGAATATAATTCCTCTTCTCTCAAATTTGGTGCCTGTGATAGAGAGAAAATTTATGCAGTAAATGCAAAAATTATTTTTCCTATCCTATATTTATTCTCACGTTAATTTTTTCTTAAATATATTTGATTATTCAAATTAAATAATTAATTTGATTAATAAAACATATTAATAAAATTAATCTGGTTAAATAAATGCACATTTAAAAAATTTAGACGTAATTTTAGTCATTCAAGACAAAAAGCACCAACTTTATATCTGTTGAAAGTCTAATTTTTAACCGAATAACAACAATGATGAGTGATGTATAAAAAATTCTCTCTTCAATAAAAAAGAGATCTATTTATGGGAGGGAATTTCAGATTTTTTTCTCTTGTGATCCCACTGTGAATGAGACAATTAGGGGTGAAACTGGGCTATGCCGGTCCACAGGGGCCTGGAGCCTGGCCCATTAGTGGTCTGCACTGTCTCGGCCTTTTTACTTGACAGGTTGGGCTTGGGCTAGTGTAAAAGCTTGATTACATAATTGGGCCAGAGTGTTAATGTAATAGCCTGGCCCATGAGCCTCCAGGCTGGCCCATTTGTTCACCCTCGGTTTTTTATCCCAGCCCACAAGAGTGAAGATCAAAGGGAAGAGGGACTCTTACTCCAATTGTTCGTCCTTACACGGTGTCTACTTTGCTCCACCAAACCTTTTTAGGTTTCGTTTTTCTTATCTTAGATCGGTGGGAATTGTAGCTGCAGCTCTAGGTGTGCGTTCTCTCCGCCCTCTCTCATCGCTTGTACTTTGCAAGTTTCACTGATATTTTTGGTGATATTTTTATATTTTGATTTTTGATATATGATTCATAGTTCCCAATCCCCTGTCCCATGCATATGCCCTTTACTGATTTTTGCCTCATGAATACATGAATTATGGAAGCTGTTGCAGAGGAATCCCTAACAGTTAGATTTCTTTTTTGGTTACTCTCTTGAAAACTTTCACTGTAATATTATTTTGTAATATTCTTTATGAAGATCAACGATTATACAACAATAAATAAAAACACCGACAATATTATAGATGAATTCTGTATTCTTCGCGCATACAAGATTGTGTCTATAATAATTTTCTTCCGAGCATTAATAGTTGTAGCTGACTCTATATTATTAGATTATTTCTTTAGATTTCCAATGCCTAATAGGCATGTGCGTCGGCTAAGATTGGTGCCATCCTTGCGATAAAAAGGCTTTTGGTGCCTGTAAAAGTCTCATCTGTATATGCATACCACTACAAATATTCCATGTTTGTTGTAACTTACTTAACTAGTATTCATGGTTCTGTTCGGACGTTAAAATTGTCTTTTTTATTTTAACAATAGAATTTGAGTATTCTGTGGAGTTGATTTATGGTCTACTTGAAAGTTAAAAATTAACAGGCCAACGGACCGAGCCGGGCCATTTATTTTTTTATAAATGAACCAAGACAGGCTAACAGTTAGACTCATACTATGCTATCGGACCGGGCCAAATTGAAATTTTTTGACATAAGCTTGGACTATACGAGACAAAGCTCGACCCAGCCCAGCCCACTTTCACCCTAGAGACAAATGCAGTCTTTCTTACTTTTGGCATATGTCTATCGAAGGAGAATCTTGTGTAAAAAAAAAAAACATTTATTTCAGCTTAAGAGGGCAAAAATTCACCCTAACAACATCCTTTTGGCACATATAAGAATGCACGTATGGGGCTCGACCATAGATTTTTTATTTTTGGAGAATTATAATTTATTTCATTAAATAGAAAAAAGTTTAAATTAGAAAAAAAGCAAAGTGAAGGAAAATCATATAAATAAACAGGTATGTTAAATAAATTTTTAAATATTTTTCATAATGACTTTCTAAAATAATCTTGAAAAATTAAGCTTTAGCTTTTGAAATTTGAAAAAAAACTCAGTTAAATAATAATTTTTTTTAAATTATCTAAAAAGTTGCCAAAATTAATTCCCCCCCCCCCCCCCCAAAAAAAAAAAAAAAATAAATCCAAATACAAATTAATACAACTGTTTTCTAAATGACTTAATTTTTTGAAATATATCTAATGATCGTAAATTTTAAAATATTTATTAATTTAAAAAAGTTTTTTATTTAAAAAAAGAAAAGAAAGGACCTTAAACACCGTACAAAATTACTTAAACAAGAATGGCGGCAGAGAGAGCATCTCTAATTGTTCTGCTACGCGAGAATTTGTGCCCAGAATATATAACCAGAGTGTTGAGATCGCTTAGTATCAAGCATGTGGAAATTGGTTTGAAAGCGATTTTATCAGGCATTTGGTCAAATTCACAGCAGCGTTTGCTAACCTCGACTAGTTGCATTCAAAAGGAAAGATTGAAGTGAAAAAAAAAAAAACCAAAAACAAATCATCGATAATGCATCAGCTAGTAAATGAACTGCAAAAAACAAACGGTCCAGATTTATTTCATTCAGCCATAGTTCAGTTCGACCTTCTAGCCAAAGACTTGAAAGTCACTTAGGTGAACAAGATACACTGACTAGATAGGGGTAAGTATAATCATCAAGCTGCACCTTCTTCCTCATCGAGCAGCATCTGATTAAAGTGCCAGACACCTGAAAATTCATCAAGGAAAACAATAACTTAACACAGAATATCTTCCTTTGAAAAGTATTAATAGACTGGAAAAATAAAAGAGCAAGCACAGTACACACAGTACATCCTCAATAAAAACTCCTTTTTTTTATTCTTTCAAGGGGGTTCCATTCCCTTTAAATATAGTTTGATACAATGTTTTCAGTAATAGAAAATTAGAGATAAGATAAGGCTTTATATCTCCATCAGTTAAATTCCTTTAACTACTCGTATCATAATTCTTTTTACTTTCAACAAAAAGTAAAAGAAAAGAAAATTAGACCAATTTATTGTACAAAGGGAAAAAGTCAGAAAAATAAGATGCATGTAGCAGAATTTGAAATTCTTACCATGTCCTTTGCCAACTCTTCTGAGCTGAGCAACATACTCGGAGATTCTTTTGATTGCTTCCACCTATTAAAGAAACAATTTAAAAGCAGAGTTTAGATCGATGAAGTTTCCTTGCAGTCTTTTGCCAAATGCAATGCATAATACACAATTATCCACAATGTCTTACACTTAAAAAAAATTGTTTGAAATCTAGTTGTTAGTTGCAACACCAAATTTATACATACCTGTTCACCCAAAAACTCACTTTCCACGAAATCTGCCAACTGCACGTCACCGTTCTTTGAGGCAACCTGTCAAGCAACAAACATCAAGTTAAAAGAAAGGAATTTCCATTTCAACAATATCAGTGCCAACATGAACGAACCCAATGAAACAGAGAACAGGCAGTAACACCAAAACTAACACCCAACAAACTTGTCTTACACTGTGCAAATTAAGGAGCTTTTCATTTGTTAGCTTCTCCAATGACAGAGCGAGTTCCATTGCTGCAATCAGGGGGGGAAAAACCAAAACCAAAGACATGTTTAGTTCTAAGTGGAACAGTTCATCAGGCAAAGCCTAAAGAATATGGGAAAATCTGTACAAGGTGACTTCCACATTACGTGGTAATTAATAAACCTTTATTTATATTTATCATTTTGGTAATAAACAATTCACTTATAAACTAGGTGGATCAGACACGGATATACAAACAACATAAATTTAATATGTAATCATAATTTAATTAATTTTAAGTAACATATCATCACAATTAAATTTACAATAACATATCATCACAGTTAAGGCAAGATAACTGACATCGAATTCCAAATTGGAAATCATGATATTAAGGAGGACCCCCGAATCTCATTTCTTTCATTTGAAATGATGTCAAACTATAAAATTTTCAAGGCTCGATCCATTGTCTTCAAGAATCAAAATCATGAAGTGCTCTGACTTGGAAAAATTGAGTTTGATCCAAAATCCAAAAACACACACATCACACTTGAGACTAAGGTAAATGAATGCAGGACAATGCAGCAAAAGAAACAAATACTGTTCTCAATTACAGAACACATGATCTGAACTCAAAATATTGAAAAAGAATAGGCCAGACACACTAACCGTAAAGCGCATCTCCCTTATCCGCATGATCAAACTCAGAAAGTGGCATCACTATAGACTGCAACTTCACTTTTCCACCCCTCTTGTTCTGAAAAAAAAAAAAAAAATCATAACAACATAGACAATCAGAGGTCAGCATCAGCTTGTAAGAGATAGATAGGATTAAAAAACGTATCATATGAAATCAAGTCAAAGTCAAACACCTGATATTCCATCAATTTCTCAGCATGCCCTCTTTCCTCTTCACTCGATTCCTTAAAAAACCTATAAACAACCACAATCATTTATAATCACTCCCAACAAACAAACAAATCAAAAACAAAAAACAAAAAAAAGGAAAGATCCTGAAAACAATCAAATCATTACTGACCTGGCAAGACCCCTGAGCGCAACATTGTCCCTATCGAAGTACGCAAACATTGCATGGTAAACGTATGAGACATTATACTCCACACTGTACCCAAAGTAAATAAGTTAAATTAAAAAATCAGAAAAACAAAATAACAAGTAAAAATAAAACCAACCAAACAAGATAGATAGATAGAGAGAGAGAGAGAGAGAGAGAGAGAGAGAGAGAGAGAGAGAGAAACAAACTTGATTTGCTCGTTAACGGCAGCTTCAGAGTCATCAACGTATTTGTGGCGAGCGAGAGAAACTTGTGGAACAGTGGGTACGAGATCGAGCTCCTTTTTCACCTCTTCGAAGGGTTCAAACACCACACCAGTTAGGACACGGTTGTTGCTGGATCCCTTGGTGGCGCAAACCACCAACCCACTCGCATTTTTTCTGGTGGAGAAACGAACGGGAACGGAACGCCATTGTTCGGCGTTCGCGTTGAACAGAGGCAGAGAAGAAGAAGAAGAAGCAGCAACGGCTCTGAGAAGCATGGTTTGAGATTCCACAAATGAAATGAAATGGAAAGGGTTTTCTTTGGAGCGGTGATTTCACAGTGTATTCGGTTTTTCTGTGCGGTGTTTGCGAATGTGACTGTGAGGATAGAGATATATATGGATGGTAATGGTACTTACTATATTACGATGATAGGGACGTGCGAGCCGTTGGATTGCGTGACACTTGGAGGGTTCAGAATAGAGGATCGAGTGGGCGCGTGGCGTGCTCGTGGTCTAGCTGGGTATCATTGTGGCTGTCCCTTGAAATATCTAGAATCTTTCTGCTCCAATTACATTATTTTAAGTGGCACTTCTTGTTCCGTGGCCTTTTCCAGTTGTGTCTCCACAAAAAGACGAAAAGGCCAAGTATATTAATTACTTAATTATTTCTGTATTAATATAAAAAATTCAGAATATCATATAATATTTATACGTATTGCGGTGGATACACAACCCCGTCAAATTAAATTAACTCTACGTTACTTTTTAATGGTTAAACGACTGGATTATTGATTCTTCGTTTTCCGTGTTTAATGTTACATATCATAAGTTACTTTTCCGAATATCAAATCAAGATATTACGAAAATAAACAAATAAAACAACGACTGTTAAATCAATGTCGTTATCGATGAACAGACATTAACTTTTTTTAACTTTTTTATTGTTTATAATATTTTTGTGAGAACACATTTAATAATTGAGATTAATTGGGAAAAATAATTATCTGGTTGCAGGCAAATTTTCCTCTTAAATTAGGAAGAGTTCGTTTTGTCTATAATTAATATTTTTTTTCTCTTATCTATGGATCCTACCATGAGTTTGGGTCGAAAATTTCCCTCCTTTCCATCAACATCAGAATTTTATTGCCCTTTTCTAAATACTATCAATCAGTTGATAATTATTTTTAATAACATCTTTTATGCATAAGAATTCCAAATCAATCACAGGACTATATTTTTAGGGAGTACTTAATAGAGAAGATTTTTTTCTCTCTAAAAATCATGATTATTAGGACTATATTGGGAAGGTGAACTTTAAAAAAATGTGATCAAAAAATTGTATAGTAACTTAAAATATTATCAAAAATATTGGCTCAAATTTATTGATTTATGTTTGGTTGACAGTTCATTATTGCTGGGAATGTGAGTCATTTTACAAAACTAATATTCCATCAATTTTTAATATTATTATTTTTCTTCTTTTATTCCTTCAATCTCAAACACACCTACACCACCTTCGTCTTCGCCTATGCGGTCTTCGCCGCCATCTCTGTCTCATACTCCCCTAGCTTGAACCATTCCTTTTTTTTAGACTTAACTAAATTTTAATTATTTTTTTAAGGCGAGATGGCTCTTTTGGTATTCCACAAGCTTCAATTCTTTGAACCGACTATGACATTAATCTGGTGCAAGCGAGTAAAAATATAAAGGTATTTAAACTAAATCTCTCCCAAAGATGACATGTGAAGATCGAATTGAGATCCTTTTCTTTCCACTTACTCAACATGGACTATACAACAAGTATACAACAACTTATCCTTAAGCATGGTAAAAAGATAAGTAGAATAACATATTCCTTAAAAAATATATAAAAGAATCACGGAATGCTCAACATGGACTATACAAGTATACAACAACTTATTACATACAAGTATACAAATATGTTATATTTACCACCTATTTTCCCTTACAATCTCTTATAACTATTTTCTTTATCATTGGATCAAAATTTAATCAACGGTTATAAAATAATATCAAGTGAGAACCGTTGATTTGATTTTGATCTAACGCTAAAAAAAAAATGATTGTAAGGAAAGATATATTGTAAGTATAACTTCTCCTTATGTATAAATTTTGGACTTCATCGGGTATTTTTTTAAAAATATATACGAAGTAATAGAAACTGCAGATAGTTACCAATTGAATAATTAATTGTTATTATTCCATATGTATTATCTAACATAATTTTTATAGTTTTAAAAAATAATACGATTTTCTTTTAGAAAAATACCGAACTAGACTGGACTCTATAAATTTTACAATCATTTAACACTATAACGCACAGATGGATAAAAGTCCTGTTTGATATATTCTACGAAATGTCGGAAATGAGCGTTGATTTACACATTTTTTTTTTTTATGTGAACTATCTAATTACTTTTTAAAATACCAAGTAGTTACTATTATTTCATTTCAATATGATAGAAGTGATCTTATTATTGACTAGGATTGATAAAGAAAGATAAAAGTGATCTTATTATTGACTAGGATTGATGCTTATCGGCATCAGGATGAGGATGAGGACGATATCTAAAACCAGAAAGCAATTAAATCATCACATGCAAGCTTTGTCAATGAGATGTGAGGTAAAGCCGTGATTCGAACATGAGAACCCGAGATAGAAAATGATTAAAGACTGACTCAGTTGCTTAACCTTTTATATGAAGCCCTTCATAAAACTGACCCACGATGTACGCGATCTCATGTTTTGTTTGGATCAACATATATGTCATCATTCTGGACCGAATGAAAAACCCAAAGAGCTGTTTGATTGGCACTCAGATACAACCCAAGACTTTGATTGGGCTTGCTCATTGAGTTATGCCTTCCGGCAAAACTTAAAAATATGGCTATTTGTGATGCAAAAATTTATAAAAAAACACCAACTGACTTGGGCCTCTTATTTTATAGTGACATCAACTGAGCTCAAAGGATAGAGTTAGGATTTGTTGGATATTTACCTTTCTGTTTATTTGTCTATAAATATATCAAATCAATTAGTTATTAAAGGTGTGACTCGAATTAGAGTGAGTTTGGGGTGAGACATATACCTTATAAGCACGTTATTTTATTCCTTAACTTACTCAAAAGTTATGTTTAGATTAATGCAAAAAGAAATATATGAGAATACAGTAAAATGATCGTTGAAAATCGACACACACAAATATGAATCGCAAAACAGAAAATAGAAAAAGGAAGAGAGAATATTCATATGGCAATTTACTCTTATTTATCCAATGTAGATTACCTTTAGTTTGTCTGTACTATATTCACCTCACCGTCACTCTTTATAAGTCATTCGGTTTACAAGAGAATATGAATAGAATTTAGAAAATCCTAACCGCAGTTATTCATAGACCTAAACCCAAACTACTAAGAAATCTCCCGTTTTTTTTTTTTTTTGCTGACCCCGATAATAAGGACATTCATCAATATGTGAAGTATGAGCCATATCTTAAACGAAAACTTTAGGGATATGAGATCTTATATTTTATTTTTCTTCCTCTAAATTTAAATATGAAATATAATTAAATATTTTTTTATTAATCTCTTTACCAGTCTTTTTACTTCCAAGATAATAGAATAGAAACTTTGCTTCACTTCATGACAAAATATTCAAACAAAGGTATAAAAATTTTATTCCATTTCATTGACATGTTATATTCCATTTCACTTAGTCATCATTAAATATCAAAATATAACATAATGTTCATGTTAACAGAACTCAATTAGTCAAGAACCCATTCACCATATCAATAATAGAAAATTAAACAACATGCATCTCGAAAATGAATCTTCATCACAACGATGCTCATTTAATGTTCGCGTTGAAGGTCTCATGTTTTTCCTTCTAACGTGGTGAGATGTCTGTTTCTTCAGCCATATTTTATTGTCTTCAAAATTTGTGATTTCCGTGAAAGCAAACGACAAGTTTCTCAGCCTCAGCTTCCATGGTCTCACCTTCCGAGGGGTTGAAGTACGTTCTAAATTTAGACCTAACTGTTAGTTACAAACAAGTACGTACTAATTAACTACGTCGATTATCTTTCAAAAAAAGAAATTAACTACGTCGATATGCATTAGAGGCATCGATCAAATTATGTCCCATTTAACGGGTATATATATATTTTGATTTTCTGGTATTATATATATTAACTTTTGGCAAGGATATAAACTAAAGTGATAATCGGATGCAAACTATCATAGTCTCTCCAAGGAAAAAGGGTGATCCCCGGTCATATATATATATATATGGAAAAAGTGTGTATCATTTAAAATGATTTAAAGTTGTATCATTTTAAGTGAGAGAAAGAGATAGATAAAGGGGAAGAGAGAGTGGACCAAAAAAAATAAAGGTATGGGTCCCACCTCTTTGTGAGAGTGAAATGACATAAGTTATGTCATTTAAAAGAACAAACATTTTTTCATATATATATATATATAAATAGGGTTCGATTTTTCTGCAGTTATTGCAGATAAGTTATCTATAGTAAGATCAATGCGACGTCGTTTTGTGACGGAAATCATAGTGTTTTTGTAATTTTAATTTATTTCAGAGTTATAATAGTCTTTAACTCTTTATATTTATAATTTTTTAAGATTTCAATACCAAAACGACGTCGTTTTGGGAATAAATACAGATAACTTATCTGCATTAAGTGCAGAAACATTTTTTTCACATATATATATATATATATATATATATATATATATATATATATATATATATATATATATATATATATATATATATATATAGGGAAAAACATTTCTCAAGCTGCTTGAGATAATGTTATCTCCGGCCACCCCAAAACTACGTCGTTTTGTTTATTTATTTCCTTATATTAATTGATTTACCTTTGAATGGTTATGATTCCATTTTTCTCTTTCTTCTTTTATCACCGTGGATCCATCTTTGTATGGTTATGATTTAGTAGCCGGAGATAACATTATCTCAAGCAGCTTGAGAAATGATAAGCATATATATATATATGTGTGTGTGTAGAGAGTTTAGTTATTATAACTATATTAACTTCTCCTGTCTTATTATCGGTAAAACATAGGCATAAGACTTTTTGAAAACAAAGACGTATAGAAGTAGAAGACAGTCATACCATGAAATGTGAGCTGTTTTATTTTGAAAAACATGAAAAGGAAGCTTTGAATCATGTGAGGCAATTAATGCAAGGAAACATTAGGGTTTCCGCCATACTAGCTCCATCTCATACGAGTTTCAATAGTAATCTCCATCGAAATGAGCTTCATTTATAATAATCCCTACAACTTAATTGCAT